GATTATGTGATGATAAATTGGTTCTATGATATAATCGTTGCATGACCAATATCTTATATGATGCTATACACGTATTATGCCAAATAATAATTTGAAAAATAAGCACAGCACCCTTTACCCTACTTTTCCTGAGGCAATCATTTCGCAGTTACTTCACCGACAGCCGATAAGTTCGTTTAACAGAAAATAATTCATCGACAGCTCATTTCATAGAAAAGTAATTCTGGCCATTGCCGTTAAGATCAGGCTAAAATTAGAGTTAAGGTTAGTGTAAATTATTAAAAAAAAAAAAAGCTTGTCGGCAAATTAATTGTCGGTGAAATGAACTTATTGGTGAATTAATTGTCGGTGAACTTGTCGGTGAAATTAATTGCGGTGAACTAAGCTGTCGGTGAAATGGTACGCGTTCCTTTTTACAATCACAGATTGATGAGAATAACTTAGGTAATAAAGATCTGTCGCTATCTGCACTAATCTGAGATTGAAAAGTATGGTTGAGGACGGCATATAAACTTTCATATGATTAGCTGTTTAAATTAAATTAATTGAGTTTTATATGATTTATGCAATTTAAAGTACTTTTTAAAAAAAATACAACTACAAAGAATAAATAAAAAAAGGTATGCAGTTTCATTAGAATTGTAGAACTCCGCTATTAAAAATAATCAAAATCCTTTCTGAAGAATATATAGAATTAGGTTATTAGTATACTAACTTCTCTAAAATAAAAGGGGATTTTCAATTGTAGAACTCTATATCTTAATAAAATGTTCTACTAATAAAATGTTCTATATACTTTTTTTGTTATTCTTTGTAGTTTTATTTTTTAAAAGTACTTTAAACTGTATAAAAAATATAAAATTAAATTGATTTAAACAGTCTATCATATGAAAGTTTTTCTATGATTGAGGACGCTGCACTAATTTTTCACATTTTACGTACATTAACCAATTTTGTTAAATTTAATAATTAACAAATTTTTAATATCTACTAGTTTATATAACTTCACATTTGATCATATTAATAATATTAGGATAAATGTATGAATCACACCCTGCGATGTGCTTATATATCGCATGTATATACAAATCATAATTTGTCGCCATAAGATCAAATAAAAACAATATAATTATGATTAGAGTTAGATCGGGTTAGGATGTAAAAGAAAATGGGAGTATAGTAAATTTTGCAAGGAATTTTTTTGTTAGAGTGCAAAAGATTGCTTCATATGTGAAATTTTAGTTATAAGCAACATTTACAAAACGAACGTAAATTTCCTGATTGTGCTACGTTGCACGTAGGGTTGGCAATGGAGTTCAATGGACTCAATGGAGTTGCGAATGGAACCAATGGAGCTCTGAATGGAGCCAATGGATACTAGTTTTTGAGCTCCATTCGCACAACCATTGAGCTCCATTGGCTCCATTGCCAACCTGGTTATACAGTACATTTGATTACTAGGTCATTAAGATGCGATATATACATAAGACATCGCAGGGTTGCAATGCCTAATTAAGTACTAAATATAAAGATTTTATGTAATCATCTATTAACAATAAATTTTAATTTTAATAAAATATTTTTAAATATTTTTAACTAGTAATAATGTGATAATAAATGTATTACTATTTTTGCATTTCTGGTTTGGTCCAAATAAAATCAATTTCATCAATATCAACATAAGCATCAGAACTTTCTTTCCTTGCAAAAAAACCATACGCTTCTAACCATCTTGAACCCAATTCTTTTGACTTTTCTTTCCATGCATCTGTAAGTGATGGCTCGTCCAAAAAACATATATACCTTACCCTTAACTTATCTTTAAATTGGCGATCAAAACTATTTGTTTTAGAGGTAAGAGTGGATCCTTCAAGAATTGCATAGTCAGAAATCAAATCTTTTTGAAGTCCGAGCACGCCACGTCTACTGTCTTTTTCTGCATTCGCAAATGCGTTACTTTTCAAATTTATGGAATTAGCAACAAAAATAATAATAATAATTTAAACAATATTGTAAAAAGTTATTCTTACCCCATAAACGAGATAATTACATTTGCCAATATAATGACAAAAAGAAAACCACCCAAAACATTAAGAATAGAAAGAGGCCAATAATGCCAAGAATCCAATGGAATTGAACCCCAATTATATACAGCAATTATAGAAGTAAATAGATTAGAAAATGGATTATCGGGTACTTCTCCAACCATTGTATAAGCTTTCGAATTTGAAGTCGAATTTACAACATCATAGGTATCAGGTAATTGACTTAATGATTCATATGATGGATAGCCAAGAAGAATAAACCTGTATTATATAAATAAATGTGTAAGAATATGAGCTTGATAATACAAACTGTAAGCAAAAAAAAAAATCTTACAGCGAATGTCCCTAATAATGCAAAAAAAATATATATATTAATTAAATTATTATTTTTAATAACTTAATAAATTAATAATAAATTCATAATAAATTAAATAATGAGTTAAGAATTTTAGTTACCACCGCAATAATCGCTAACCCATAAAAAATTAAAAATGTTTTAATTGATGTCATAATATTTAAGATTATATTGAGGTAATTGGCAAATCCTAAATAACATTAATAAAATTATTTAAAAATGACGATTACTTTATAATCAAAAGGATATTAGAAAGTACCTGGAAAAATGCGTAACAACAAAATCTACGAGTAAAGAATAAACTTTTTAATAATTTACTAATTTCAGGTTACGAAAATAAGGAAATATGTACATACCAACTCGTACCAAAGGAACGCAATGCTTAGAAAAACAATAAAAACACTTAATTGAGTAGTTGTGGCATTTTTAAAGCCACCATCTACCCTGTAATAACCAAACAAAAAATAAAAAGAGAGGATCATAGGCAAAAAAATAGAAAAGTTATCCATCCAATTGAAAAAATCATCGATATAGTCCTGCCCATGAAATTTATATTGGTGTACCTCAATTACAAAATGATAATATGCTAAATAATAAAATAAGAGCATAATCAAAATCATTGGGATGTGTAGAAAACCAGTAACCTCGAGATGAGCAACATATGCCCAGGAAATAATCGAATAGGATAAAAGGTATACAATGTAAATTTGTAATGTATGATGCCAATGGTATTTAGAAGAATACCACATCCAATTCATGACGGCTTCCATTGAGGGGTTATCATAAAATGCATCATCTGCATCCATCATTCGTAAGAGCCGAATAAAATGGCTATAATCCTCTTTTTCAATAGATGAGTATTTGCCAGGTAAGAAAAGTTTTATAATCATACGCCGAGTTTTATCCATTGGATCCAGAGCTGTTTTATTCGTTGCAAAATCAATCAAAGGTACCATTCTAATATAAGGAATTTCATCGTCACTATAATTTTAAAAAAACATTAAATACTCACCATTTCATTTATTTTAAATTAGTAATAATAGTAGTAAAAGGCGTTACCTGATATTTTTAAGACTCAAAGATTCACCACGAGGAATGAGTTGCGTTATAGGAATATAAACTTTTAAAGAATTTTCGGAACTTTTCTTAACCGCATGAAACTTCAAACTAGACAAATCTAACTCTTTGTTACCAAAACAAGGCTTGTAAAGGAACTCTTGAGCGTACCAGTCTGAATTATATTAATTAAATTGAGAAAATTAATTGATAAAATTGAAATTTAGAAAATATTAATAACAAACCGAGTTTTTTTTCGTATAATAATGGTATGATTTCAGACACGACGTTCATCCAACCAATGTTATCCATCGAATTGTTTGAATAATATTCTAGGAAAAATGTAAGTATTGTCATATCGATATTCGATTCTGAAAATAATAAAAGTTTTGTATAAAAAATTATATTCATATAAACATATTTTTGCTACATATTCTAATCTTTCAAATAACTAACCTTCATCAGGGAAAATTTCTTTTAATGGAACTTGCCACGAATGAAGAGGACGCTCTTTTTCAATTTTTTTATGACTTGAAGAGTGTTTCACAATAATGTTTTTGACTTTCTTTAATTTAGTTTTGATGTCGTTTTCGCTATTACTTTCCTTATCACTTATTGAGATCACAGAAAGGATTCGTGAAATACATTTTTCAGAATCATTAGTTGATTCATTTCTATTACTAAATAAAATACGGGTTATAAGTGAAAAATCTTTTAGACCAATAAATTTGCTCATTAGCTTATAACGAAAATCTATTAGTCTCCAAGGATTTGGATATAAGGCAATAAACCTTGTAATAATATTTCGTGTTTGTTGAACTATATCGTTATATGTTGCACGTTTACCGCCTACAGCAAGATTAACAGATTTACTTTGAGTATCTAAATACACAAGTGCATCAATTGCACTTCTTACTATGTAGATGATATCATCTTCATGTTCTATTTTTATTTGAATGTTTTTTTTTTCTTCTTTGCTAATCAAAAGATCAAACTTTTCTACACCATATTTAATTTTAATAATTTTGAACTTTTCATGAGGTTCTTCTGGT